TATCCATACTATACAAGGAACTCAAGCAATTACACAGGAATAAAATATTTAACTTAATTAAAAAATGGGCAAAGGGGCTGAATAAACATTTTTCAAAGGAAGACATACAAATGGCCAACAGGTACATGAAAAATGTTCAACAATAGTCATCAGGGAAATGGAAATTAAAACTATATTGAGATACCACCTCATCTCAATTAGACTGGCGATAATCAAAAAGATGGTTAATAACAAATGCTAGTGAGGGTATAGAGAGAAGGGAATGCTCCTGCACTGTTGGTTGGACAGTAAATCAGTACAACTATGGAAAACAGTATGGAGGTTTCTCAAACAACTACAGATACATCTCCCATATGATCCAGGAATCCCAGTTCTGGGGATATACCCAGAGGAATGGAAATCATCATGTCAAAGGTATAACTGCTCTCCCATGTTCAGTGCAGCTTTGTTTACAATAGCCAAGACATGGAACCAACCTGAATGTTCATCAATGGATGATTGGATAAGGAAACTGTGGTATATATACACCATAGAATATTATTCTACCATAAAAAAGAATGAAAATTGTCCCATTTGAAACAACGTGGATGAACTTGGAGAAACTTTTGTTGAGTGAAATAAGCAAAGCACAGAGGGATAAATACCATATGCACTCACTCATAAATGGGAGCTAAGAGAGAAGGAAGGAAGGAAAGAAAGACCACAGTAGTGCATTGGACTTGCAGAGGGAGAGAACATACCTAGCGTTGCAAAATGGGGTGAGAGAAAGGGAGAGTGGGAAGGAGGTCAGGGATTAATTTGGTGCGGACATGGTAAAATCTCAATTTGTGTTAATGGGCATACTGCCAGTATGAATATGACCTTCACATCTTGGGCACGAGGGGTGACAATCAGCTGTGTATCTCATGAATATTCATAACCAAAAAAATCTTTCATGCCTTCATGATAATACACTCAGAAAACTAGGACTAGATGGACACCTAGGTTGATTCCATATCTTGGTTATTATGAATAGTGGTGCAAAAAACATGGATGTGCAGATATTTCTTAGACATATTAATTCGTTTCCTTTGGATACATTCATAGTAGTGGAATTGCTGGATCATATGGGAGTTCTATTTCTAATTTTTTTTTTTTGTCTTTTTTCATGTCCGGCAACGGATCGCAACCCTCAGTGTTGCGCCCGTACCGGACCGGGACCGGCAACGGGATCACAACCCTCCTTGCTGCGCCCACACCTCGCTCAGCCAGTGAGCGGGAACCGGTCTGTATGTGGGATCCGAACCCTCGGCGGGAGCGCCGCTGCGCTCCCAAGTGGCGCACTGTAGCAGTGCGCCACCGGGCTGGCCCCTATTTCTAATTTTTTGAGGAACTTCCATACTGTTTTCCATAACAGCTGTACTAATTTACAGTCCCACCAACAGTATATTAGAGTTCTCCTTTCTCCACATCCTCACCAGCACTTGTTACTTTTTATCTTTTTCATAACTGCCATTCTATCTGGCTCATTGTGGTTTTTATTGCATTTCCCTTATGATTCATGATAATGAACATTCATTCATATGTCTGTTGGCCTTTGTATGTCATCTTTTAACAAATGTCAATTGAGATCTTTTGCCAATGTTTTAACCCAATTATTTGTTTCTTTGCTATGAGTTGTTAGAGTTCCTTATATATTCTGGATATTAATCCCTTGTCAGATGAATAGTTTGCAAATATTTTCTCCCAATCTGTAGGTTGTCTCTTCACTCTGTTGACTGTTTCTTTTGCTGTGCAGATGCTTTTTAGTTTGACGTAATACCATATGTTTATTTTTGCTTCTGTTGCTTGTGCTTTTGAGTTCTTACCCAAAAAATCTTTGCTCAGACCAATGTTATCAATTCTTTCCCTGATTTTTCTTCTGGTAGTTTTGTAGTTTTGGGTCTTACATTTTGAGTTGATTTTTGTAACTGATGAGAAATAAGAGTCTAGTTTTATTTTTCTGCAAGTGGCCATCCAGTTTTCCCAACACCGTCTAATAAGATTTATTGTGATAAGGTTCATGAGGAATATTGGTCTGTGGTTTTCTTTTCTTGCAAAGTCTTTAACTGGTCTTGGCATCAGGAAAAGTCTAGCCATATAAAATGACTTGGAAATCAGGCCCTTATCTTTTGTATTCTGGAAGACTTTCTGTAGAACTGTGCTACATTTTCCTTAAAGATTTGTAGAATTTATCAGGGAAGCCATCTCTACTTAGATTGTTTTGTTGTTGCTGCTGCTGCTGGAAGAATATCAAACAAATTAAATTTGTTTAATGGAAGTAGGATTATGCAGGCTATATATATATATATACATGCACAAATATACATGTAAATAAATTAATCGTATGTAGCAAATATATAACGATATATTAGTATATTAAACAAATTTAAGTACATGTTTACAAAGAACAACAACAAACTTAAATATAAGTATATAAAGAACAATGATATTTATTCACCAAGTGCAAGACCAGTTTGAGAGCTCCATTCAGTGCAACCAGAGACACTTTCATTAGGATCAGGAGCCATTGGGGCTGGTGGTGGAGCTGGTTGGAGTGCTGCTGAGGAGCAAGAAATGGGTGATTGTCTGGAGCCATAGAGCCCGGCTGCCTGCCTGTCCGGGGCCAAAGAGCCCATTCATAGCCTGCCCAGGGTCATGAAGCCCTGCTAATAGTCTTCTCACACTAAAGATATAAATGCTGTGACCTTTCCGCCCTTTTCTCCTTCTTACTGCTTGCACAGCCCTAGGCATAGATCACCTGCTGCTTTGCTTTAGATAGCTGAGAAATGTTCCATTTCCCTGAATGATTTGCCCTGTGGTTTTTCCCAGAAAACATCTGCATACTTAATTATCTGCTGATTCCCTCCTGCTGTCTATATAAACTGTGACCTTCTGGCTAATAAACGAGACTTGATCAGAATACTGTCTTGTCTCCATTTCTCGTGTCTCTTGTCTTATCCAATTCCCACTCCCCCCTCCAGGGTCTGCATTGAATATCCCACGGGTCGGGACAGGTGATGGGGTCTGTCCGTTTACATGTTTCCTTGAACCTCTTTCTGACTTCCATCTAGAAGTTCTTGGGAAAAGGTGAGGTCTACATAAGGATTGGGGGTGGACGGAGTGGAAGACCTAAAATTGACCACTCCTGGAAATGGTCTTTGAGCACCATGGACCATGTGTCTCTTGGACGCACTCAGAGAAGGTAAAGCTTTCCTAGCCCAAACAAGGATGCTCTGCCCAGCTGGCCACCATCACTGCTCTGCTCAGAAATATTCAGGGCATGACCATTAACCCAAATGTCCAGTAGTGCTGGGGGGCTCAAACCAAATGTGCAACGTAAAATCACTTCCCTAAGATACAGGCAGGGCTTACTTAACAGGACAGGTAGCTGAGTTACTTCCCAGATTATTCAAGGTGGATGTAGATCGCCCAGCTTCTAATGTTTCCATGGAAACCTATGTGGAACTTTCCAGGCAGGGAGGGCCTAACTGTAAGTGGGAGGAGATGGAAGCCACAAGCAGGTGGAGGTGTGGTGGTGATGGCAGCACCTGCACAACAGTGCAGGTTCTACTGCCAGTTGCTGCTCCTCTCAGCAAGCATTAGGCCTCTTGCCAATTATACAGGAGGAGTGGCCAGGCCTTTGTCCAGCAGGGGGATGTTATAAAAAGCTGAGTATGTGTGTGTTGGGGGGGGGGAGTTTAGTGCTGGGAGTGAATAGCAGCAAAAATGGGAAGTACCATTCTGCTGCTGAAGGTCTCCAGGAACAGCATCGAAGGCACACCCTAAAAATACAGGAAACTAGATCAGGAGAGGAGGGGACAGGAGAGGAAATTGACCTGGGACCATGTCTCTGGCAGCCTGGAGGATCTCAGGTGTAGAGAAGAGGGATCTGTGAGTCCAGCCTACCCCAGTCCTTTTGCCATTGTCTCTGTCCTGGGCTGTCTGGTTGCTGTTGAGTGCAGCATCTCCTAAGGACCGCATTCACTTATTACAGTTTCTTTGCTATACTAGTGACATGAGACGCTGTTATTTTTCACAGGATGCACAAACAAGTCAAAGCAAAACACTGTGCAAAACAAATGTTTGAAAGAAAATAACTTGCACTAGCCTGGCACCAGCCTGCTCAGCTAGCCGTTCTTGGCCTACGACTCACAGAGAGCATGAATGGGGAGAAGAAGAAAGTGTCAAAGGGCACAGGGTACCCCAGCCACACCCACTCAGGTTGTCCCAACTACACTCACACAAGTGCTAGAGTTGAGTCAGGAGAGACAGGATGTCCTGGGCATGGCTGGGAATCTAACGTCTGTCTGACTTGAGAAATGTAACTATAGGTCCTAAAGGACAGGAGTCTTTTTCTTTTAAAAATACATACACTAAAGTGTTCTGGACAACTCACCAGTCATCTAGGGGATAGGGCACTAGCTTCTGGACTTTCTCAAAGCCAGTGCTTGGAGGCAGGTATGAGAGGAAAGGCTGGGCCAGGACTCTATGCACTCGCTCTGTGCATAGTGTGGACTTCCCGGACCTCAGAAAAGCCTGCTGAAGCCCAGGAAGGAAAGGAGCACAGCAGACGGAACACATCTCAAGGTGCCTGTTAGGGTTGGCTCAAAACACAATGAATCACATTTTGGAAGACATGGGAAGGGCTTCTGGATCCTGTGTGGCCCCATCAGGTGGTGTGCTGCCCAGCCCAGACTCTCCTGCTCATGTAGCTGCAGCCAGAGGGTGTGCCTGCTAGTGGCAGTGACACATCCTCACTTGGGGGATGGTTCAGTGCCTTTACCAAATAGTTCACTTTGGAACATGGTCACCCATCTGAGAACCAGAGAGGGTGAAGGTGAATTCATGCTCCCTTGTTGGTAAATGAGGGGTAGGAATGTTTGCAAGTGGCCTTTCTATCTCTTTTTTCCAGGATGTACAAAAGCTACATACCCCAGGTAGGGAGTGCAGTGGTCCACTTTCTTAACATTTAAGGTCTTCTATCTCTGGACCAGCATCTGGTAGACAGTGTCTGGGAAGGACCAGAGGGTCTGAACTTGGCTGCTGCCCTCAGTGGACATGAAGACACTATTCTCATATACAGCCCGCACANCCTTCTGATATCCCTCAGCTGAGTGCATCTTCAAGATGGTGATAAATATGAGCAGGTAGGAAATCAAGATAACAAAAAGTGCAAAAAAGACATTAAAGCTCGAAATAAGAAGAAGGATCAGCTCACTAATGTGCTTATCAGAGCAAGTCAGAATCATGACTGCTGGAACATCACAGAAAAAGTGATGGATCACACTGGACATACAGAAAGAGAGGCAGAAGGTGTCTCCAGTTTGGATAGAAGCATTCAGAAAACCAATGACATAACAGCCTATGGCCAGACGAGCACACACACTTGTCGTCATCATGGTGGTATAATGGAGGGGTTTACACACTGCTGCGTAGCGGTCATAGGCCACTGAAGCCAAGAGGTAACATTCCACAGTAGCACAGACTGCAAAAAAGAACATCTGAGCAGCACACGCACTGTAGGAGATGACCTTGTCTTCAATAAGCAGCCCAGCCAAAACCTTTGGAGTGACTGTTGATGAGTAGCAAAAGTCCACCAGAGACAGGTTATTGAGGAAAAAGTACATGGGAGAGTGGAGACGAGAATCCAGCAGTATCAACATGATCATCCCCAGATTCCCAATCAGAGTGATGAGGTAGATGAGCATAAACATTATAAAGAGGGAAACCTGCAGTTCTGGGGCATTGGTTAGTCCTTGCAGGATGAATTCACGCAGTTTCTTATTATTCTCCATNCTGAACTTGGCTGCTGCCCTCAGTGGACATGAAGACACTATTCTCATATACAGCCCGCACAGAGCTGATGTTGACCAGAGGAGCACTGTGGCAGTGCATGCTCTAACACAGGTTGAAATCTCCTCCCTGCACCTGGCTGCTGGCTGAGATGGTCTTGTTTCTTCTTGTCACCACATCGACATAACTGCAGTGTAATGTTCATTGCAGCACTACTCACAATAGCCAAGATATGGAGGCAACCTAGGTGTCCATCATGAGGTGAATAGATAAAGAAAATGTGGTATACATACACAACAGAATACTGTACAGCCTTAAAAAAGGGAAAATTCTGTAATTTGCGACAGCATAGATGAACCTGGAGGACATTATACTTAGGAAAGACCATGCTATCTTGATTACTGTAGCATATGTAGTAAGTATTGAAATTGCAGTGAGTACTCCAACTTTGCTCTTACTTTTAAGTATTGTTTTGGTTTGTTTTGGTCTCATGAATTTTCTTATAAATTTTGGAATATGCTGATAAATTTCAGCAGAGAATCCAGCTGGGATTTGACAGGGAGGGAATTGAATCTGTAGATCATTTAGGGAGTACTGCCAGCTTTCCAACATTGATCCATGATCCAATTGAACAAGAAATTTATTTTCTTTTTTATTTATTTATTTATTTATTTATTTATTTATTTATTTATTTATTTATTTATTTTTTTAATTTTTATTTTGTCAATATACACTGTATATGATTATTATGGCCCATCACCGACACCTCCCTCCCTCCTCCCTCTCTCCCCTCCCCCCCAAGAATGTCTTTTCCGTTTGCTTGTTGTAGTAACTTCATGAAAGTATATTTTCTTACTTAGATTTTCTTTCGTGACTTTCAACTATGTTTTGAAGTTTTATGAGTTAAGCACTGCATTTGTTTTGTTTTTTTGTTCTCTATGTATCTTATTATTTTTGATAATTTTGTACATGAAATTCTCAATTTTATCTTCAGATGATTTATTTCTGGCATATACAAATAACCACTGCTTTTTGTATATTGATTTATATCTTAAACTTTGCTGAACTCATTTATGAGTTGTAAGGATTTTTAGTTATAGCTTATGATTTTATCTATTAAAGATCATGTCATCTGTAATTAGAGGTAGTTTTATTATTTCCTTTCCAGTCTGTATCTCTCTGATACCCATAAGGTTAAGGCCAAAAATGAGTTAATTATCCCTGTCTTTTAATTCTAATGTAGCTATTTACTGTTTGTAAATTGTCCCATGAACAAGCTTTCTGACACCAAATAAAGCAGTAATGTTTGAAAAATTAATTTATTAAAATGCAGAAATTATTTATATCTGGATAAAATGTGACAACAAAAAGCACATATTTTATTAAACGTCATTAAAAATGATTATCATAGTTCTCTAATTTGGGGATACTTAGAACTGTACCTCATCTAACTAAATAAAATTATACAAAATGTTGTGTTCTATTTGAGTTATTGCACAGAGCAGATAGATCTAACTTTTTGTGGATTCTACATCATTAAAATACCAAACCTAGAGAATGTTTTGCCTTCTCTATAACCTTCTTGAATGCACTGTTGACCTCCTTGTTCCTCAGGCTGTAGACTATAGGGTTCAGCATGGGGATAACCATAGTATAGAACACAGATGCAATTTTGTCTGTGTCCACGGAGTGGCTGGAGCTGGGCTGTAAGTACATGATGATAACAGTTCCATAGAATAAGGAAACTGCAATGAGGTGAGAGCCACAGGTAGATAAAGCCTTCTGATATCCCTCAGCTGAGTGCATCTTCAAGATGGTGATAAATATGAGGAGGTAGGAAATCAAGATAACAAAAAGTGCAAAAAAGACATTAAAGCTTGAAATAAGAAGAAGGATCAGCTCACTAATGTGCTTATCAGAGCAAGTCAGAATCATGACTGC